GCGCTCCTAAACGACCTACCTCCCGAACTTTCACAGCTGCCACCCTCTAAATTCGCACGCGCTGTCAAGTCTCTGTGGAAAAACGATAGACCATCGTGATAACCTGAATTAGGCACTCGTCTTGTATATAAGTACACGGTATGTTAGAAATCGTGCATATAGTCTTCCTGTATGTGCGTGTGTGTGTGTGTTGTTGTTGTTTGACTGATCTTTGTTCCTGCATGCATATACCCGACACAGACTCTGGGCAGTAATCGCCACGCCATGTGTGGATCGCCCATGATCGTAAATACATACATACATACATACATACCACACTTCTACTACTTCTACTCATACAACTACTCCTACCACTACCCCTACCACTACCCCTACCCCTACCCCTACCCCTACCCCTACCACTACCCCTACCACTACCCCTACCACCACCACTGCCCCTACTACTACCCTACCACTACCCCCTACTACTACCCCTACCCCTACCCCTACCCCTACCCTTACCACTATCCCTACTACTACCCCTACTACTACCCCTACCACTACCCCTACTACTACCCCTAACACTACCCCTAACACTACCCCTAATACTACCCCTACCCCTACCGCTACTTCTACCAATACTACTACCACTACACTACCACCACTACCACTGGGTCATGTGAGGTCACAGATTATCATATAAACTGATGAACTAAAAAATGTGTTCCTAGCCCTGCTCCTTCTCGTGGCATTCCATTGTTCTTAATCGTATTCGGTCGAAAATGACGCCTTGTGACAAATGTGGCGCATTGCGGCAAACGCAGTGCATTTGTACCTGTCGTCAAATCATGCATCCTTCCACCGAATTGCACCTTTATCGGACCATATTTGACAACGTTGTGCAATTTGCGGCAAAAATGACGCCCTGAGGCAAATGTGACGCATTGTGGCAAACGTGGTGCATTCGGTTAAGCGCATTGAAAACTGTCTTTATTTACCGAAAATCAACACCTTCATTCGCCTCTGTTTATCAAAATAAATAACTTGGCCAATCTGCAAATGAGAGGCACCCGCCGCCGATCGTCATGCATTTTAGTTGCAAAGTCCATCAAACCCGGCTGCCGATGCCTTGAAGACTAAGCAAATTTGTGAAGAAATGCGCCTTTTTCCAGCGCGTGCCACGTGCGAACCATCCACACCCCGAGACCCGAAACACGCCACTGCACGTGCCCGTGACGTCATCAACACTGTGCGAAAATTTCAGCCTCATCGACCGCACCGTTTGGCCTGCGCACGGCGTCAAAGCACCTCTCTGCACGGTGCAAACACACACACAGAAAGACAGAGTTTCAGTCTACAAATAGTATAGTAGACAAGCGGCTGCGCCACTTGCTTCGCGGCGTAGCCATAAAATGCGGGAGCAGTCAATTTGCTTTCGAATGGTGTTTGATTTAAACTGATCTGTCGTCTGGAAGCAGAGATATGGACGGAAGCGTGTAGAGGAAAATTTTGAACATAAGAACTATTCTGAAGGCTAAGTTGTATGAAATTTGGGTCATACGGGGTCAAGTCAGGTCAAGTTGGCCATCCCTGGTCACACTGGGTCAGGCCAGGTCACCTTCGGTCAGGCCAGGTCGTATAGGTCACCACGTCACATTGGATCGGCCTGTACCACACTTCTACTACTTCTACCCATACAACTACTCCTACCACTACCCCTACCACTACCCCTACCACTACCCCTACTACTACCCCTACCACTACCCCTACTACTACCCCTACTACTACCCCTACTACTACCCTTACTACTACCCCTACTACTACCTCTACCACTACCACTACCACTACCCCTACCACTACCCCTACCACTACCCCTACCCCTATTACTACCCCTACCCCTACCACTGCCCCTACCACTACCCCTACCACTACCCCTACTACTACCCCTACTACTACCCCTACCACTACCCCTACTACTACCCCTAACACTACCCCTACCACTACCCCTAATACTACGACTACCCCTACCGCTACTCCTACCAATACTACTACCACTTCACTATCACCACTACCACTGGGTCATGTGAGGTCACAGATTATCATATAAACTGATGAACTAAAAAAGTGTTCCTAACCCTGCTCCTTATCGTGGCATTCCATTGTTCTTAATCGTATTCGGTCGAAAATGGCGCCTTGTGACAAATGTGGTGCATTGCGGCAAACGCGGTGCATTTGTACCTGTCGTTTAATCATGCATCCTTCCACCGAATTGCACCTTTATCGGACCATATTTGACAACGTTGTGCAATTTGCGGCAAAAATGACGCCCTGAGGCAAATGTGACGCATTGTGGCAAACGTGGTGCATTCGGTTAAGCACATTGAAAACTGTTTTTATTTAACGAAAATCAACATCTTCATTCGCCTCTGTTTATCAAAATAAATAAGCTGCCAATCCGTAAATGAGAGGCACCCGCCGCCGATCGTCATGCATTTTAGTTGCAAAGTTCATCAAACCCGTCTGCCGATGCCTTGAAGCAAGCTTGAGAGTCCAGCAAAATTTGAAGAAAAAGCACATTTTTCCAGCGCGTGCCACGTGCGACCCATCCACCCCCCGGGACTCGAACCTCGGCACTGCACGTGCGCGTGACGTCATCAACACCCTGCGAAAATTTCAGCCCCATCGACCGCACCGTTTGACCTGTGCACGGCGTCAAAGCACCCCTCTGCACGGTGCAAACAGACAGACAGACAGAGTTTCATTTCACAAATAGTATAGTAGATAGATTAGTTTGTTACCTCCTCACATTGCCCCACCAGATTGTGATAAACACACTTCTCTCCTCTGTGTTTGGCGTTTGATTGAGTGGCAGGGCCAATTTCGTGGAAAATTTTGTGAAAAGCTAATTTTGTGAAAAAGCTCAAGCTTTAACTGGGGGGGACATTGGTAACTGGGAGGGGGCAATCCGCTTGACTGGGGAGGCAATTGCCCCCCACCCCCCAGTTAACATGTTAGACGAGGCCCTGGAATGATATTATTTATCAGCTGCATATTAAAGGGAATGAGGATGGCGTTAGGCAGTAGGGCTGTATGATGCAAAACGCTAATCGAAAGTTGATAGGTAAAGGATTTCATCTCTAAGAACAAATCAAATGGCAGTTTGCTTAGAATTAAAGCTCAATATCTGCCATGTAAACAACCCTGTCGTGAATTCACAATACTAAAAGGCGTGTGTTTTCTTGTTATGCAGCGCACGATATCCACGCAGAATCTAATATCACATAGCGAATACCCACACCGCATATTTTCAGAGAAGCTCCCCACACAGTTTTTTTTTATGCAGCTGCAGCATTTCGCTGATCGCTCGCTGCTCAAAACACCGGCGGGCCAGCGCTGGCTGGTAACAGGCTCAAAGCCGCGCGGCTCCCGCGGGACCCGCCTCCATACGCCCGTATGTGTGCTCATCTGCTCCGCTGTGAACCAGACGGACCGACGCGCCGTCTGCAGGCGCCGCAACAACATGTCGGCATTGGTATGTCGAACAGCGCCTCTGCACGGTCAACAAGGATCCCGGCGGTCGATACAGACGTCGGCACCCGTTCCCCGGGCGGCGAGCGGGAAGGTCCGTGGTCGAGACCATTCCCTGTTGGCTACGTGTCTGTTCAGTCCGTCTATCTTCGTTACATCCTGTCTCATCCATCGGTTAAAAATGGTCATTGATGTGTGTGCTGATTTGACCATATTAGTGGCAGGGTCTCGGTTTAGGATCCCTGTTCAAAGAGACGTCTCATTACTGGCTGTTCATCCGTCACTCTCGTGTCCGTTCCGTGTCCGTTGAACGTTCCGTGTCCGTTCCGTATCCGTTCCGTGTCCGTTCCGTGTTCATTCCGTGTCCATCCTGCGTTCCTCCCGTGTCCGTTCCACTCTCGGCGACGGACAGCGCTCGATCGTTCAGCGGGCAATCAGCCGGCGGAGGTCGGCCGGAACGGGGCTAGTTCTGCGGAGCGGCGCTCGACACGGTGCGTGAGCGTGCTGAGCTGGAGCGGCGCGGCGTCGGCCACCCGAGACGGCACGGCGATAGGGGTCCGGTCACGGGATCCTGCCATCAGACCCCACTACACGCTAGATGAGCCGGATTTAGCACGCTATATCGAGAACTTGTATTTCCCGTGAGTCATACAGTTTCTGTTTTGCAATTTTTGGGTTACCAGTACGGTGTGAAACACAAATGTATGACATGTTCATTATCTCCCATTATTGTCCATTTCCCATTGCCTACTTTCAAGTGTAAAATCAATAAAATTCGTGACTCATAATTCCACCAGCAATAATGACGACTGTCGACTGCAGCACAGGCCTGCAGTCTCAATGCTACGTTTATTTAGTGGAACACCCAGTCTGCACAGTGGACGCAGTCGGGGAGCTTACTAAACGGCCGCCAGATGGCAGTAAGATAGGCGCCTGGACGTTATGCTGTACCGCAGGGCTCGAACCGAGTTCTAGAACCCTTTTGGTGAAGGACGCCAGATAAAAGAACAAAGTTCCTTTTGAACGACGTTATTTGCTGCCGAAAACCACGGGTGAGAAGCGAAGTCAACTCTCGGAAATGTTTGAAGCCGTTCCAGACTGTGCAAATTAGCACTTCTCCCGCAAACAAGGTTGTTTGCCGCTCAACAACGGAAATTGAATGATCCTGGCCTCCTTTATATTCACTTTTGTGCTAGAATCCTTAAAACGAGAGAAATCACACATCATAGAAAACCGTTTCAGCAAAACTTTTGAAAATAAAATTAGTAAATAGAGGTGTTTATGTGCAACTCTTTATGGTGTATCTTTGATCTTATGTAACTCAACAGTCAACGGGATTGCAATAGGTAATTTCAACGGGCAATTTTAACTCCAGTATATATTATTATTTTATGCATAAATTACCGATCAGTTTCATTATTTGCAAAGTCAGCTATTACTTCCTCCCTAATATCAGACCAATGTGCCTTGACTACCATATATTTGTGTTCCAGGTTTACCGGGAAAGCGGAATGTGATAGTGTACGAATGCTGTCCGACGCCCTACGTGGACATCACGTTCACGATACAGATTCGCCGGAGAACGCTGTACTACTTCTCCACCCTCATCATCCCCTGTGTCCTCATATCCTCCATGGCCCTGCTGGGCTTCACGCTCCCTCCCGACTCCGGAGAGAAACTCACGCTAGGTAAGTCCGGTCGCCGGCTCCGCCGTGACCTTTGCGACGTGCCTCGGGGCAGGGTGAGACACATGGGCCTGGGGCGGCGTCTCGCCTGTCACCGCCTCCCGCCGGCGTCCCTGTGGCTGTTGAATTGACTCGGAAATATTGTCATTTCTAAACGCATCGCAGACGGTGCCCACCGTCCAGCTTGTCATGACCGATTTTCAGTTATCACTGAAAATCGGTTCGATTGCCTGTTGCTGGTAGAAGTTAATAAAACGTTCCAATATATCTAGAGGCTAGAAAAAGAACTAATATCAAACGTCTCATAAGACAACTGGGCCCAGCAATTTTCTATCTTTCCCTGTTGGATGAAGTGGAACGAACACAAGTATCAGTTCAGTTAAAAATTTCAACCGATATTGTTTATTATTGCACAGAAATTTGAACGTCATCCGTTTGTCTATCGAATAAATATTGTTTCAGGATATTTCAGGAACATTTCTTATCCTACAAACGGCAGCCAAGTAACTCATTCTCTCAATTCACTTCTCTATGCAAAGGTTATTCAAAGCGGGAAGTCGTAAACCCGCACGGGCTCGTAAAATCCATGAATGTATCAACCCACAATAGCGGTTGCGACCATAGCCGGGCCGAATTTGTCCAATACTTCTGAATATCGGTAAATCACAGCCACTCAAACCCGCTGGAGGAGGCGAACGACGAATGCGGCGCCGCCTCAGGTCGGTATAAGCAGCCGAGACAGTGGCCCGGGGAGCGCGGCGTTTGGCAGGGGCGCTCATTGAGACCATCATTGAGCACTGACCGAAACCGAGAGCATTGACCGATCGAGACCTCGCACCGTTTTTGGAAACAGCCAGTTGGTTCTGCCAGCGGAAGAATATTTTGAATTAAGTCATTCAACATTGCTTTAATAACTACATATGTGTTTTCAAGCTTCGAAAAATATTTGTTCTTCATTTTGATGTAATCATTTTGATTTTAATACTTGATGCAATTCATATCTTCTCACACAGTTAAAATCGGCCGTCAATAGGAGAGCAGCCAGCTCCACTGAGCCGCGTGCCGGACCAGTACACGGCACGCCTTCCCTTCTTTCCTGGGCGGTCGCGTCGCTCCGCCGCGGTTATTACATATCGGCGCGCGCGACACCGTCACTGCCGATGCCATCGGAGCCCGGCGGAGCTGACGAATGACGCCGTAACCCGTCGGCGTGATCATAAAGCAGCGTCAGCAAATGGCCGAGCCGGTACGAGGTCCCGACCGGTGCCTGCTCGCGTGTCATGGGTCGCACTTTTGTTATTTTGGAATTATTTTCCGTGATATTAGTTTGTTGTACTCTGTGACAGACCCTGGTGATTGCGCTGTGATAATTGGTGGCGATCCGGTCGCTGTCTCGGCTGCCGAAATGGATTTATCGGGCTTAGGGTCGGTCGATCAAAGATGACTGCTAAAAGCTGAACACCTGAACGCACGCTCACTAAATAACGGAACGGTAGCGATGCCAGACGCCCGCCATGCTCAGAGCGCCAAGCCGCAAACGCCGGTAGTCTGAATGAAGTGATAGCTCGGGACCCTTGGGTGCAGTCTGCTAAAGGAGAGGTCAATCGGTCCCTTCGTCAGCCTGCGATTGGGTGAAGATTTGGCCGACGCGAAGCTGCAGCCGGCCATCAAACAGACAGTACACTGAATGGCCTGGCTTTTCCCATACTAGCCTAGAAGTAATGTCTGGAAAATCAGGTGCATTAAACCCGCCCCCACAGTCCTATAAACAAGTGTAATCTAATCAACGGTTCTGCGGAGGAAGCGGTACGCTGTACCCGCTCTCTTACAAGAGCGACACGTGTCAATCAGAGAAGCCCCGCTGGACCACACCCCTTCTGCTGCTGACACTGCTCCGGTGCCTTTGAGGGGATTCTCCTACGTCAGAGTGTCTGGGCTGCCGGTCGGTCGGTGGTGCGGTGACCATCGGCTGGCCGGCCAAAACACCGAGACCATTACCCTTCCAATTCACTGGCTGCCGTCAGCGTACGGCCGACGGACACCCTCTCACCCTCTGACCCTGCTCTCAGGCGTCCGTCATTCACCCTCTTCTCTTTTTTACTCTCCTCTCCCTTCCTCTCCAGTTCCTGTCACCATTCGTCTATGTATTTTTCTCCTTTTCTCCCCATCCTCGATCCGTCTTCTTACCTGTCTCCCTTGCCGCTGCTTTTTTGCCGGCACCCCGTCGGCCCGCTGGCTTCCATGTAGTGTTTCTCGCCGGGTTTTTACTGCGCCCTATCCGCGGACGAGGTCGTTGGTGGGCCCGTCAGCTGATCCGTCGGTCTGCCACGTAATCCCATCACGTCTCTTGCCGCCCATCACCGCCCGACGTTTTCCGTCCTTCGTCACTGAGTAATTAGGCTAACGTCGGCGCCGCCACAGCCTTCCAGTTGGGCGGCCAGACAGCGCCGCGATTCTGTCTTTCGCTCCTTCGCTCTCGCTCTCGGTCGCTCTCTCTCTCTCTCTCTCTCTCTCTCTCTCTCTCTCTCTCTCTCTCTCTCTCTCTCTCTCTCTCTCTCTCTCTCTCTCTCTCTCTCTATCTCTCTCTCTCTCTCTCTCTCTCTCTCTCTCTCTCTCTCTCTCTCTCTCTCTCTCTCTCTCTCTCTCTCTCTCTCTCTCTCCCTTTCTCTCTCTCTCCCTTTCTCTCTCGCTCACTCTCTCTCTTCCTCTCTCACTCACTCACTCACTCACTCACTCACTCACTCGTTCGCTCTCGCTCTTTCCCGCTTTCTCTTCATCTTTTGCTCTCGCTCTCACTCTCTGCCTCTCTTTACGCTATCCCCTCTATCCCTCCTTATCATTCCTCTCGTCCCTTTATATGCTCTCTTTCCCATCTCATTTTTCGCACCCAAACCATTTTTTAACCTAATGATGATATCGTTTTGTTTTATTTGTTTCTTCATTGATTTTGAATGGTGTGAAACGCTTTTTGGAGCATGATTATGATTATAATGGAAATCAGATGGAATAGTAACCTTTTGCTCATAACTAAAGCTAGCTAAAAACAAATCCAAATGGATTTGTTCTTTAGCTTTTTTAGTTATGAGCAAAAGGTTACTGTTCCATCTGATTTTCATTGATTTTGCCATTCTTTCCGACTATCGATTATTCAGTAATGACCTACTGGTCAAACTTCTTTCTTCCAAGTATTCAAATGGCATGCGAGAACCGCGCTCTACGAAAGCTTTATAAACCAGGAATATGCAATACCAAAAATGCAGCACCTGTCAAAGAACTAATTCAGATTATCCCAATCGGTTTTGGGCAGTCGCGATCAAAAGGAAACGATGATCAGCTAAGTAATCTAAAAATTGTAGGATAGTTGGAACTGCCCCGGTTTGTGGCTTGGCGGCCTGAGCTGGTGTGATCAAGTGTCCGTCCGTCCGTCTGAAATGTCTGCTGACTTGTCTGTATGTGTGTCTGCGCAGTGACTAAACAGACGATAGTCTGCAGAGCTCGTCTCTAACGCCGCTGAGCGCAGTGTGCCCACCAGTGTTCGTGCTCGCGTGCTGGTCTGTTAGACGACACCGCCCGACACAGTCCCAACACTTCCAATGACACGGGCCGACACAGTCCTGACATCGCTTCTGACACTCCGACACAGTCGTGACATTTCCAATGACACAGTCCGACACGGCCTAGGATGAAACCCCACACTTCAGCCGGAGCCACGCGGGCTAACAGGCTCCCAGTCTCACACCAGAACCACTTTAGCAGCGAGCGAGTGGGCCGTACAGAACACACGCCGGTGTCAACAGAATGCGCTCTGCTGAGTAACAGCCCTTGGATTAACTTAATTATTTTGTCTTGAATACTTGATTCAAAGATGCAGCTCATGATTGCCACAATAAATGTCCGTTGACGTTGTTTGATTGTTGCAAGTTATGAGCTATATCACATTCCTCTCTCAAATTGAATTTGGTATATAAGCATGAGCTGTTCATTTAATGCCAATTACAGCTTATTTTTAAACTACCTACGATTCTCATTCAAAATGACAAGGCGTACATTTCTAGGCGCACTCTCACCATAACTCTTTCAGATAGTCGTAACAGAATCACCACGTAAATGTATGGCCCCATTGTTCCGTCGCGCATCGCTCTATCTTCACATTTTCATCCACTATAAAGGCCGTTGAGCTATTCACGAACGCTTTCTGCAGACATCCTGGCATCAATAAACTGCTGAACTAAATGGCACGCTGTGAATGTTGGACAGTAACCGGTATGGCATGCACGCACTCAGCCTGTCTGCAGCTAACAAACGCCTATCCGAGAGAGGGTTGTTTTATTTTCATTGAGACTTTTCGTGTTTAAATTGAGAATCGTCATTAAGGACTACTCGTTTCATGTCACCATAAGTTTCGAATGTTTAATAATTCAAATGTTATTGCCGGGTCCTGGTGACATTACGAATAGTTTGCGAATGGAATCATTTTATAGAATTGCATATCACATGAACCATGTGGCAGTTTCGAACAGTCTAAAGGAATCAAAATAAAGACAGCCACTGTTTATCTGGCGAGCGTTTTTAGTGGAGCTCCAAGGCCGAATCACCGCCCCGCTGGGTTGAAATATCGGCCCTGCCGCTGACTGGGTGCCGATAGCAGTGGCCCAGGGAGGTCGCTGTCTGAGAGGCACAATGGGGGGCTGGGCGTCCGAAGCAGCTGCCTCTTGACTTCCCGCGGCGAGCTGTTTTGGCGACATTGCGGAAAACAGACCACTTCTGCACATTGATCTCGGCAGAGCTGCGGTTGAGTGGTGCGTGAAGAGACGCAGCCCTTTCGGAGAACGCCTGGCCCCGACCCAGTGCCGGCGAAAAGTCCAATCGGCCGATAGGCATTTGGAAGCTGTTGCTGCAGCGACCCTGGCTTCACTTCGGCACAGGTGCGCGACAGACATGTGTCGGGTTTCGGCTCGATATTTGAGATGCTACATAATTAGTAAATAAAGCTAGGTATATTAAAACTAATTGAAATTGTCTAACAGTTCTACGACCGATTCAACTAGCTCTAATATGTTCTAATGAAAGCGGAATTTGGCATTAAGGGACAGTTTTTTAACTCAGTAAGCACTGTATCAACGAAAAGTCTCAATGATTCCTAAAAAATTGGTCTGCTTAACATAGGCCCCAACTTTCCAGCATGTTCATGCTCGTAATCGGACCTTGAAATACTACCAATAGCATGGCTTGCTGCTTTCTCGCATGTTTATGTTGCATGCGATGACAACCCACATACATCACACATTGAAAAACTCTCCGTCGAACATGGCAGGCCACACCGTTTTATTTGGACCACTTTGAAGGATCTCAAACTGACCACCAAATGATTATAGGGACATGCCTCGGTTTTGTTTTCAAATACACGACTATTTTATTTTTATACTATTGTACCTTTCTTTAACGAACGAATCTTTGTACTTTTAGTACGAATGCTCTGAGACGTTTAAGAACATTTTTTTTAAGAAAAATACGTTCTTGCATTGTGAAATTTCAATTAATCTTTGCAGCATGTAACGACTTCCACCAGACATAAAATGGTATCAGCTGTTGTTCGACGGAGAAAGCCTGTGCATGTTCTTTGTTAAGAATGGTGATTTTCCTTTTAACATTACTTCTTGATAAATGAATAAATAACTACTTAATTGATAAATAACTAGAATTTAGCATGCATGTTTCTAAAAGCTTATATAAAGTAAACGTCAGTTTAAACGCTACCGATATGGCATTGTCAACTAAGATGAGTTCAATGCTAAATAAGTTACAGATTCCTGTTGTGTTAACCGTCTTTTTGGGCAAAAAGTAAGCAATAGTTTAATGCTGTAATACTTTTTAACACTTCGTTGCTGATGTTGCTTTTGGGTGTTCTTAATAAATAGATATAAAGTTTTCTCATTCGCCAGATAGAGTGGACAATTTATGAAGGGTGATTTTGGCCAGCTGCCACTTAAATCACAGCATGGCTCTCAGGAATATGTTGACCCAGGCTTCTCAGAGATGTATGGGTATATTTCAGTCGTAAATCAACAACATGGCTGCGATAATAGAATATTTGTTATTTCCTGATGGTGCCATAAATTGGTAGGCCTGGAGCAGCGCAACAATGATTAAAAAAGTCCATCTACGTGCAAATTAGGTCTTCATTTAGAACTTTTGCCAAACTTTTTCCGCTGCATATAAGCCCGTGGCTCTGGCAATCAAGCTTACCAGGCTTTTATTGCAATGTGTTTTTACGTGGTATCTTAAAAAAATAAACATGTTTGTCTCTTATACAGCTGACTGCCGAAATATAACCATGCCCTAACCTGTAAAGCTTGCGACTGACTGTGTATGACCGACTGGCTGTCCCCGGACTCCACTCGCGCAGCAGTGAGCGCCGCATGGCCCGCCGCTCCCCACCGCGCCGCCCGGAATGACGTGTCACCGTTTCTGGCTCTCCGACAGAGGTGACCATTCTGCTTTCTCTGACGTTCTTCTTAAACATCACCACCGAAATGATGCCAGAAACCTCAGAGGCTGTGCCCCTGATAGGTAGGCACGATCGCATGCCGCCCGCTCAGTGTCGTCTTGTGCGCTAGGTTTGTGTGAGCGTCAGACGGAGCTAGACCACCACGCAGGAACACACAGCACCAGACTACCACCAGCCCTGCCGCCGCCCCCGCCCCCGCCGCCGCCCCCGCCCCCGCCGCCGCCCCCGCCCCCGCCGCCGCCGCCGCCCCCGCCCGCGCGCGCTGTCGCCCTGCCCTGCCTGGTGGGTATGCCGTCGCCGCTGCCGCCTCTACCTCCACCGGGGACCGTGTCTCGTTGCAGGAGTGACGATTCTACTCTCTCTGACCGTGTTCTTGAACCTGGTCGCTGCCATGATGCCGAACACCAGCGACGCCGTGCCTCTGATAGGTATGCTGGCTCGAACGCCACCGGGAGGCCGGCAACCCAAGGGCATCCCACGAGCGCCCAAAACACCGGCTTTTATCGTTTTCTTCCTTCTTTCCTTCTCGTTTTTAGCACCATTTCCTGGGTGGGATCCTTCGCTTATTGTTGTTATGTTTGTTTCTTTATTTTGGATTGAGTTCAATCGGGGCACTTGGACGAGTTCTTTGTTTTGCTGACAGCCGGCTCATGGCTCTTTTCGCCTGGTTTGAACGGGATTTTCAGCCGCTTGCTCCTGTCGTTTGATCCTGCTGCATGATTTGACGGCGCTCTTCCATATAACGGTTTGTTTGATATCCCGGCCTTACCAGCCCTCTGCGAGCCGCAGCTACACAAACGTGAGCTTATACCAGCTACAAGATCCTCCAAACCTGCATGTGCCTCGTGATGAGTACCCCGGAACAAGATTTCGTAAACAGAAAATAAAGGGTGATTAATAATGCCTACATCCCAAACATCCAGCCACTCAACCTCAACCGAAAGGGTATTTTATTTCCTACTACACCAGCATCCGTTATCAATATCCTAAGGTCCTGTGGAATCGAATCTCAGAACACTTTTCTCCATTGCATTGTGATTTTTTAACTTGCACCTTATGCGCTAACACGTTTAGATATGCTAGCTTTTATTTCCTTGGTGCATTTATCTGTCATGTGCTCTCTGACCGTGCGATCTGTTGTGTGCGGCAGCCGAGTAATGTACTAAGTGGCAGTCGGCTGTTCTTTTCATTTCGTTTCATTGTATGCCGTTGGAAGCTAGTTGTCGGTTTTACTGCATGCTCGGCGGTGTCTCGGCGGCGTTTGGTGCTGCGCCCCAGAGCCGCTGGCAGTCGGAGGGGGCCGTAACCGGCGCGCTCCGGGCCATTCGCCGGCGGTGCGCGGCCCGCCTCACTGGGCGCCTGTGCCGTGTTGCAGGTATCACCATTCTCCTCTCGCTGATCGTTTTCTCGCTCGTAGCTCACGATGTGCTTCCGACCAACTCGGACAGACTGCCGCTGATAGGTACTAGCCGCCGCAGGCGGGGCGGGAGCACTGCCCGGCCGCCACCGCCGCCTCAGACTGCTCAGTCAGCAGCTGTGGTCGGCGCGGTCACCCGACCTGACCTGACCTGACCTCACAGCACAGCTCTGCACCAACGGCACCACAGTCACCAGCACTCCCTGCACCTGGCACAACATCGTCAATGTCCCTTTTTCCCAAACACAGCACTTGCTGACTGACTTATCTACTCAGTAATATACCTGATCTCAGAGATTGGTGCACTTTCGTGTGGGTTATATTTGTGTCATATCCGGGAGCAAGAAGTGGAAACCTAATGTAATATAAAAGGATGGGTGGAATGCATCGATATATTAGTCTTATGATCCTCCATCAACTGTTTTACCTGATATAAAGCATAAATGAAATGAATTTCTTTAAGACAAAAAGCTGTTGACCACCCACTTCTAGCGTGTCTGGTTTGTGCTCGCCACCAAAATATAAAATACGCCGCAAGCAGCTTTGCTGTATCGTGATTCGCTTCAACAGTTATCGACTGACCAAAAGTGATTCCAAAAATGATTCCAATAAATCGAGCCCAAAGCGAAAGAACTAAGAAGATCTGTATTTGTAGTTGTGATCTGCCATCAATAGACATGGAATGTATTTTTATATGAGTGAAGAAAATGTTTTTACGTGGATGGCGATTGCGTTTCCATTTGGACGATAGGTACATACAGGATTATTCCGAGCCACTGGGCTGAACGCTATTCGTTATTTTCACACAGCTCAGTCGGCAAAACCACCATCCACACACCGAATCCACTACGTCTGAGCTTCTTCAGCGGCATTGTCAACAACCCAGCGGCCACGCTTACGGGCCGAAGGATGTCCAACGCAAAGTTAGCCCAAAAGTTAGATGATTCTTTCAAAGATTCCGACGGATGACAGGCATGGTTTGATGACAGCTTTGTCTGTTTCTCCATTCTTTCATTATATCTCTTCATTTTTATTGCACGCTCAAATCTTTCATGCTGCATGAGTGACGTTTGATTACTACGAGTACTTTGTAGAAATTTGACTTTAGCTCACTTTCCTCCTTTTGTGCTCGATGGCATGTTCTCTTCTGTCCTCCGCTATGTCGCGGTCTGCCGAGACGCGCTTGTCGTCTCCCTGGACCACTCTGCCGCAGTGGCTTCTCAGAGTTGCCCATTAGCGTCCGCTCCTGACAGGTGAGGCGGCTCCTGAAGACCCCACCCGTGCGGTATTGATTCGCCCCCCCCCCCCCACTCCCTGAGGAGCGCCACCGTCCCTGTGTCGGGACGCACAGGGCCGCGTCGTCGGTCCGCCGCCCGTGCCGCCGGTGATTGGAAGGCCCCGCCCACCCTCAGTCGATCGCCCGTCAATCGGAGCTCTGTCAGACGGTTATTTGGTGGGGCTCTGTGTGTACTGTTGATTGGTGTATGTGTGAACTACCCCTCTCGAATGCTGCGCTCCCTCTCCAGCCCTGACCCTGTGCTCGTTTCCCCGCCGATCCACTCCGCGCCCAGCCAATCCAGATCCCCAAAGTAGCGAACGTTTGCCGCGGCTCTCCGCCAGATCCCCGGGGACTTGCGGCTCTCCCCGGCTTCACCAGCGGTATATCGGACCGGCAGCGGCCCATCCGCCGCCGGTCGCAGCCCGGCGATCGCAGCGGCGAATCAAATAACATTTTTGCTCGGCGAGATTCGTCGAGTGCGACGTCGGCGACGTCGCGGTTCGGTTTCGCCGCTGCCGGTCGGCGATGGGCGCGACCATCTGCGGCGCACTGGGCCGGCTGAAAGCACCCAATTGAAACGCCCGGACTGCGACCGAATTGTTTGCGGAAGGAAGGAGACTGCCGGGTGTATTTACTCGGCGTATCGTTTGTTTTGGTGTTGGGATTAGAAGCGGCTTGCAGTTGCGATGATTAGCCGGGGCGAAAAATCTTATATACAGTAACAGCTCCCCATAGGTCATGTGGAACAGCAAATTGATTTACCTAATCACGGTAGTTGTCGATGTGGATACAATTCCAGCCAATACTTACGAGATTACCTTTATCACATTTCACAATCATAGCCCGCTTATGATATCCATTTATGTTCTTGTTTATGGCAAACTTGT